AACCACTCCGATTAACCTCAGTCATCAAACGACTACGAACTCTACCCTTTACAGCCACCTGACCATTACGGATATCTACCCATTATAATCCTCAGTTACCAAACTATTACGAATATATAGCGTCAATCCCAAACACTACGAGTACCTATCCCCCGTCACCAGCCACCCACCACCACGGATATATAGCCCGAGTAACCCAGCCACTACGACTACCTATCTCCAGTCATCCAGTCAAGCAGTCCCCTACTTACATACTTTCTACTCATTATTCTCCTCAGTCACCTACGTATTACCCAACACAACCACTACGGATATCTGTCTCCACGCAATCATACCTAGTTACTATTCTGTTCTACCAGTATCATCCACAGTCATCCAACACTGCAACTAGCAACTTCTTCTTACTCTCTATTCGCGTTCTACCTTTATTATCCTCAGTCATCAAACCACTAGAGCATCTAATCCGACCACTACGAATATCTAACCTCAGTTACTCAACCGCTACGAATGTCATGCCTCAGCCTCGTAAACACTACGGGTACCTAACCTCAGTCTTCTAGCCACCCACTTACTTACTACTTTCCCACTACATATTATCATCCTCAGCCACCCAACCACTGCGAGCATCTATCCAAGTTCGGGAACTTATATTTAGTCCTGACAAAGATCTATTCACTACGAATATCAAACCCCAGCCATCGAACACGACGAACATCAACCCATTGTTAATCGCAGCCGCCCTACCATTACAAATATTTATTTTCAATCATCAAGCCGCCCTCTAACTCTCTCTTTTAGTGTCCGCAGTCACCAAACCACATTCCGGACAGGAACTATATCAGGTATCTGTCCCAAGAATCTGTCTCAGAATCTATCTCCAGGATCTGTCTCAGGGATCTGTCTCAGGGACCTGTCTCAGGGACCTGTATCAAGAATATGTTACAGGAATCTGTTTCAAGGACATGTTCAAGGATATGTTACAAGGATATGTTCAAGGATCTGTCTCAGGGATTTATTTCCAGGATCTGTCTCAGGGATCTGTCTCATGGATCTTTCTCAGGGATCTGTATCAAGAATATGTTACAGGAATCTGTTTCAACGACATGTTCAAGGATATGTTACAAGGATATGTTACAAAGATATGTTTAAGGATCTGTTACAAGGATCTGTTACAAGCATATGTTTAAGGATCTGTTACAAGCATATGTTACAAGCATATGTCTAAGAGAAACGTCTGCAGAATTTATTTCAAAGATCTGTTTCAAGGAACTGTTTCAACGATATATCTGAAGAAGCTGCCTTAAGGATATGTCTAAAAACCCATCTCAGGGACATGTCTCAACATCTGTAACAGCGATCTGTTTCAAGGATCTGTCTCAAGGATCTGTCTCCAGAATCTGCCTCCAGGATCTGTCTCCAACATTATGTTCGAAGAATCTATCTAAAGGATATGTATCTAGAACTCATCTCAATGACTTGTCTCAACGACCTGTTTCAAGAGTCTGTTCAAAGCACCCATCACAAAGATACGTCTGAAGAATCTAACGAAGGGATCTGTCTCAAGGATCTGTTTCCAACCATAGAGCAGTGTAACCTAAGCCTCAGTATCCCAGCCACATAGCAGACCAATAGTTAGCCCCAACCACATCATTATTTAGCCTTCTCAGCTAGTTACTCAATCATGTAACAGCGTTACTAGACCCTGTAATCCAGCCAAATCACAACAACACGTAACCCAATAGTCCAGCCACATCACAACTACACGTAACCCAATAGTCCAGCCACAGAACAGCGCTACTTCGCCATCAATAGTCCAAATACAGAACAGCCTTACCGCCAACCACTCTAAACTACAGACCATTTCTTAGCCCTAGTGCAACCACAACGCTAGTTAACCCTCCCAGTACGACATTCAACCCTCAATAGCCCAACCACAGAGCAACGTACTACCCTCATCGATTCGTCTTACAGTACTTCCGGCAACCCTGTTCTCTGTTCTGGAATCTTCTACTCCTCGACCTACAGTTTTCTATCACAACTGAACAAGAAACACTCCCTCTGCCATATACCAGCTCGTATTCATACCGTGTACTCAGCACAATCGGCGTACTCTCCTCCATATCACTTTGTACGACGGTACCTCAGCAGTATAGGCCCCCAGTATTTCACTCCTGAAGCACCTCTTCCACAGATGTTAAAGTCTTTACTGTACTACTCTTGTCCAAAGATACTTAAGATCCTACTCTCACGGTCTGAAACGTCTCCTTTCTCGGGATATCTAGGGATAATACAATGTTCAGTCGCATATCAACCTAACCAGTCATCACAGCACAGTCAGTTCTTTAAAATAAGCGCTAATTACCCCTTTACATTAAATAACACTATATAAATGCTAACGAGTATCGAACAGCTCATGTTCATAGCACTATCCTTCCATTATAAGAGCGCTACTCCCTCTTCTCCTCACTTTGTACGATCGAGCATCAGCTGTATAGACCCCCGGTATTCAGCTCCTGAAGTCTCTCTTTCACCGAAGTTAGATACTCGAATAGACTTTTACTCTCCAATAGAACTAAAGTCTCTAATCGCACTCTCTGAAAGGCATCCCTCCTCGACTTATCCCCTCGACTTATCTCCTAATAATATCCAGTTACGCCGTACTTTCTCTTTTCTAGCTTAAGCACAACTCGCACCCTTCTTTATCACTGTAATTGAACTTAATCAACAACACGTTCACAGACTATACACGATTCTATTCATATTCACTAGTATATTAACTGAATATACCCCACTCTATATACTCTTACACTCCTTCCTCCATAGCATGCTCGCCATAAAGTACACGTAACGATAGTCCGCCCCGCCTCTGGCTTGGACATCAACACGCACGGACATCATCCGAAGCCAATGCGGAAAGAGATTCGTTCTGGTAAGCTCCGGGAACGTAGCCTCCACTCGTCTCCGGTAACCCTCATCATGAAAGAGAGCAAACTGCATCAAGAGGAACAGCTCCCATGTAAGCGGCTGCACCACCTTCTGTCCTTTGTCTTTCCTGATGTACGTATCCCTGGTACTCTGAAATACAAAGTTGCGTATCGCCTCACTTTCAAACTGCGCCAGGAGATACCCCATGCGATACTCGTACTCTTTCATCAAGGGCAGATTTCCATATCTCTGTCGGCGCGACTCCAGTAGTCTACGCATATCGTGTATGTTTCTGCACCTCCACATTTCAGGACAAGTCTCGACTTTCCCACGATCGCCGAAGAATACCAGTACGTCTGCCTGCCTCGTGGCAAGTCTGTTCCATGTATTGTTATACATAGTCTGAGCAGCAACCGTACCATGTAAGAATAGATGTCCCCGCTTGATACCCTGCTTCTCCACCAGCGCCACGTAGTTCGAATACCGCTGCATGAATAGACGTCTCAGCATGTCCTTCTGCTCTCCAAACTCAACCATCAAATTCTGGATTCCTATACTCTGACACCGCGTGTACCAGCTGTCAAACTGATCGCCATCGTATATCATTCGCAGAACGCACATGACATCGCTGCCCAGCTTCGCAACGGACACACTGTTATCCCAGCAGATACAGGTAACCTCCGACATGAGACATCCGGTACACCAGTTCTTCTTGGCGAGAAAGATGTTCGAGTTGAAGTATCTGTAGTCTGTTCCATACATGGCGTAGAGAAGGGGCCTGGGGATGGCTAGAAATGCAAATATATCGGATACATTCTGGTACAGTTGTTTGACGCGGATCTTGAGAGGAGAGTCAGTTTGTTGTCTTTTAGATAGAGGGGGGAGTGAAGGGGAGTCTGGAGTACTCGCGAAGGGGGCAGGCGAGAGAATACTTTCGCTGGTCGAGATGGGATCGGTAGAGGCGGAAGGACTAGCAGAGGAGAGAGTTTCTTGATATACAAGAGAAGAAATGTTCTCACGAACATTATTCGCTGTACCTGTTGTCGGATCTTCACAACTCATTATTTGACTTGTGTTGTCGTGTGTATCTCTTAGCGGTCTATTTTCAGGCTGTACATCAGCAATGCCAAGACCACCGGTAGTTTCTTGATCACGAGTACCTATTCCATCTGAAGTTTCGTCATCATCAAGACTCAGTTCACCTCTAGTTTCTTCATCACCAAGACCCATTACACCTGTAGTTTCGTCATCATCAAGACCCATTACACCTGTAGTTTCGTCATCATCAAGACCCGGCTCACCTCCGATCTCCTCACCTGCTTCCTCCTCGAACCCATAGAACTCCCTTATCGCCTTGGCGTAGTTCCGCACACGCATAGAATCTTTGTGTAACGACCGTTTGTTCCAGAGTGTCACGCACCTCCCCGCCTTTCTCAAACGTCCTGCCATCTGGATGTATGTCGACACTGGCGGCACGTACCCCACAAGAAGCACCAGTCGCACCTCGGCTATGTCAATGCCCTCGCAAACCAGCTTTGTCCCCACTAGCACCTTGATATCCTGGTTTTTTAAGTTCTGTATCCTCTTCACTTTTTCCTTGGCTTCGAAGTCGCTATGGACCCAGATGCAATCGATATCCAGATTCAGAGCAAACTGCTCCACTCTAGCTTTCTCCCCAAGTTAAACAATCACCTTTCCGTGCTCCTGCTCGTTTATGTATTGCAACGCAATAGTATCAAGCTGCCCCTGCTTGACTTTCTCAAATGTCTTTTCCACATGTTGCAATGGCATCTCCTTTATCATGTCCCACATCTCGACGTCTTCGAGATTCAAAAAGTCCAATGGTCTCTTTAGCCCTTCTTTTCCGGCTGTGGCTGTTAGTAGCACCACCTTCCAGAACTTTTCCAAAGGAACAGCTGGAATGCCTTTGAAACCGGATGCTCTAAAATCTCTTTCGTCGTACAGATTATGACACTCGTCAATCACTAGCATTCCTAAGGATGCACCCTCTATCAGAAGCTGCCACCGCTCAATCAGAAGCCTGAAATCAGATCTTCCCATGTTATCAAATATTCCCACGTAAATGGCACAAAAGTCGTAACGTCCAACAGGGTCATCACTCAGCAGATCGCGCACAAAGCCTACGCGCAGTCCGTCTTTCTGCAGTCTTTGACTCATGTCTCCGAGAAGCGTATTGTAAGGAACAAAGACAAACGAGACGACATTTTTCTTGCGCAATGCCAACATGGGCAACTCAAACAGCAACGTCTTACCAAACCCCGTAGGAGCCTGAATGGGAATCACTGGTGTCGTTGATAGATATATCTCACTGACAAGTAGCAGCTGGTCCGGACTGAGCTTGAAGCCCCTCCCGTATATGCTTTGCCTAGCTTCGAAAATGTCCTTTAGACTGACTCTAGGTCGGAAAGGAGGCGCTGCGCTTTCGATTTGGCCACTGGGCATGGTCTCTACTCGTATAGTGACGTCAAAGTGAATCCAAGCATGCCACATTCTGGCCACTCCCAACTGCAGCTCTCCAGCAGTTGAAGGCTCCACACTCTCTATGGAAGAAGGATCAACCGCGTAGACCTCTCTGCCTGTTCTAACTGAGTGCGCAGACAAGAGCTCCTTCATTGCATTCCATAGGGTCTGACCCAAGTCGCCATCTGCTTTGATGTACTTTCTGATGACCGCTATCATGGCGTGCCTTAGCTCTCGGAAGTTTAGTCGCTGGACCTGCTGCACGGACTTTGGATACTTCTTCAGCATAGAAAAGAAGGTAGCATCCTTGATGAGTCTTCCTTTGGCCACATCAACAAAGAGATACGAGCGAATGATACTAGCTGAGATCTTATCGTTTGTAAGATCCTCATCTCCCTCGAAGTGAAGCGGTACCTCCTCGTCACTGTATATCGCCTCTCCAAAGATATCAGGACCAATCTTGTCGTATTCCTTGCCCACGATATCAATCTGTATAGGTCGTAATACCATGATAAAGTAGAACAAATAGTTCGAAGTTCGCTTGTCCAGCATTTTAATAATCTTTCTGTAGCCACGCACCTTGGAGTACGTTGTCAGCAGCTGGATGCACCGCGACTTATCGTCCAAAAACACGTTGCGATCGTCGCCTGCATATTTCAAAGTCAGAAGCTCTGGAAATCGATACGGACTGCCACAAGAAAAATAGACCATCCACATTAGCAGAGTAGCAACTTCGTCGATCATTTCCACAACGTGCTCTCCGCGGACCAATGGTTTGGCCAGCAGTCCTTTGGCTTCTTCATGACCAAATAGACTGACAAAAGAGTGCTTGGGCTGCAGTTTATTCTCATTGAAGTACGCGTGTGGACTATCCAGCACATTTATAGCTGCTGCCTGCACATCAGGTAGCATGTAGAAAGCGCTCAAATCTTTCAACAGCATGTGAATCCTTTCAAGTACATTATTGTAGAACTCCCTAATGTATCCGCGTGAGAAGTACTTGCCACGAAATA